GAATGGATCGTTTCAATCGGCGAAACTGGAAAATACGGACCGGATTTTTTTTTAAAAACTGGATCGGCAGTCTGGATCGGCATTTTACATGCTTTCCCGATACGCATTTTTTTGCCAATATCGGCGTCCCGATCCGATACGTGGATCGGATCGGGACAAGCCTATCAGAGACCCTAAGGAACAGCAGCAAATACCCTATAGAATCATTCTATCACCCCTTTAATTATGGGATAATTACCAAACAGTTTTTTCTTGTTACCAAGTAATTGTGTGTGACTTGCTTTCTTATTACCATGTTATTACATCGTTATTAATGTACTGTAAAAGAAAGCGTTACCAAACCATTTATCTGAGAACACTGATCAGCTGCTGTCATCCTCAGTGCAGCATTAGAAATGCATTTCTCTCTTGACATCTCCAGAAGGCTCTTAATACGACTAATATTCCGTTAAACTAAAGGAGTTTATCCAGCTTTTACATTTACAAACAGAACCACATAAAGTTAATTCTGCATCCTTGTCTCCATTAAACATTTAAATATTCCTGGACCAGACTCTGGGTCCAGTCATGTTTCGGGTCTGGCGTGCCTCCCCCTCTGGCATTACCAGTGAGGCTCTGCTTAAGTCAACAGACGACCTCTAGTGGACGACTTTATCATTACAGCATTGAGAGAAATTCCTCCAACTGATCAGGTAGCACAAATTCTAATCAAACAATCTATTACTTGACAGGTAATTATTTGGATTTTGTGTTTACATCGCTAGACTGGACTGATTTAATTGACCATCTCTGTATAGAAATCAGATATGTTAACTAAAAAAAAAATAATTTAGATGAAATTTAATGTTAAAATGATTTAAAATAAACCAAAAAGAAATTTCCTCTGCTGGTAAACCTCACCTTACTCTGCAGAACCTTTGTTCCGTTGAAGTGGACCCTGGCATATTCCCGCAGGTAGACTGGAGCCTGAACAATCCAAAAAAATTAAAAATAAATAAAAACCATCAGGGACACGTTATTTGGCCAAACAACTTATATGAAACTGCTGCAAACATTTCTGCTCTGTTCTGTTTGGGTCCGTTTCTAACTTGTTAGCATGCTGCATCACTAACTGACTAACGAGACGATTCGATTGTGTAGAAAGCAATCACCCTGAAGAGTTTCTGCGAGTGTTTGATGAGAAAGGCCATGCTGCTGTTCAGTTTCTTCAGATTGTCTTTAAGGTCACTCGCCGTCATCTGAAGCAGGAGAGGAAATCGGGGGGTGTTGAAACGGCAGATACTTCAAGAGGTTAAAAAAGGATTTGGATATCTAACGTCTAACATCTTACGTGTCGGGGCCAGAGGACGTGTGGGGCAAACATGAGAGCGAGGTTGTAGGCGGACATCTTGTTCTTGTCCTGCTGCTTAGCAGTGTGGTAGAGCAGGTCCAGCAGCAGTTTGAGCAGCGAGCGGTTGGCCTGTGGCAACAACAGGAAGAGGAGCTGCAGCGCCTCGATCTGACGCTCCTTGTTCGGCACAGAGGTTTTATTGCCTTGCTCATCAAACAGAGTCATATCTGTAGGGAAAAAATGGTTTTTAAAATGTACTCTTTGTGTGCGATTTTATTCATTTTCATACATATCTTTAAACAGTGTTCCTACCAGCTATTTTAAGGTGCACGTGGAAGTGTCGGTGCGTCAGCAGAGGCTCCGGCAGATCCCCCAAAAAAGTCTTAAGGAGTGTGGCGACGTCGTTGGGGTGAAAATCTCCAGCCTCGAGGTCAACATCGGCCCCGCTATTAAGCAGCTCCTTCAAGGTGTTCTGCCGAACGGTGTTCCCAGGGACCCGGAACAGCCCCTCCACATGCAGATCTGAGCAGATAAACATTTATTTTAGCTTTCTACATCGGAGCCAAGTGCAGAAAATAAACTATTTTCTTAGCTGTGTGCGTTAGCAGCTTGTTTGAGATGAAGCGGTTAAAGTGTGACTCAGAGGCGAAATTAATAGACTGACTGATGGAGGGATAAAGGAAACAGATGGATGGATTTAAAAAAAAAGAAGAAAAAGAAGAAGATTTAAAGAAAAAAGAAGTTAACTGCCAAGCTGCATAATTCAGAACACACACCTACAAACTGGGGGAAAATAAAAAGATGCCAGAAGCTGATTTGTCCAACTATTAAACAAAACCTGCTCGTTCTCGCTGTTAATCTGTTCTGCAGTCGTATTTTAGCGTCGCAGAAAGGACAGCGTGCACAGATCTGAGTTAGCTGATGTCTTACTTTTGCTGAGGTACTCGATAAGCTGATAGATCTGAGCGATGCAGCTCTCAGTCAGGGGGGTTCCGAATACGACGCCTTTATCTGAGGAAGCAACAAGACACACGAGATGAGCCATCGAGGCAAAGTCATTCATGGTTAAAGAAGGGATTTTAGATCAGGCA